TTTCTCAATCCACTGTGCACCGGTGGTTACCTCTGCTCAGAGTTCACTACTTTTATCCACACTCCCCACCACCCCCCGTGACTGGCAATCTCGATGTTCTATCTGGCGCCATTGAAAAGGAATCTGAACAAAGTGAGCGCTGTTTTCCAGAGCGCTTTTGGAGTCACGAGGCAGAGTACCGAGACAAGTCGATGAAATCGCTGCTTGAAAATATAGAGTTTGTCTCTCACATGCTTTACGCCCGAATCAGCGTCTAGAACCCGTTTGACACCTGTCGTTCGAGCATCATCAATTTTCTGTCGATTTTGAGTAATTTCTTCCTCAATATTACAACGCAGTACTCACCGGTGATGTGGGCTGGGTGCAGCGTGGTAACAAATTCACAGGCCGCAGCAGCTTAGCTCAGAGGATTTGAAGGTTTGACAGCAAAAGCTCAACCTCTCCTCCTGCATTCCACCTTTCTGACCAGTGCATGTTTTGTACACCGATAGAGTACTACCATAAATTTTGCATATAAGAGGTAATTCGATGCCCCCTGATTACAAATACGGGCGGCGTGCGGGCAATTACTCCACGTACGAGAGCGAATTGCGCGTTTTGGTTATTGAGGTGTACGCCCTAGTGCACGTATATCAACGACCAGGTGGTTTTAATGATATCGATGATATTTATAAATTGATATCGACGCGGGCCTTGTCTACGAATAGGGTAATTATACCAGCTATAATGAATGCATTTGGGGCCTGACGAATGTTTTATGCACCGAAATCGCGGAAGCTCCCAATGGAATTTTCAAAATTGTTTCTTGTGTTTTGAAACTTTTGGAATTTTTGGAATACTAGAAATTTTGTGAACATTTGGAATTCTTTTGGAATAAAATCTTGGTCCCTCTTTGTATACTATACACTGCGACGCATAATTATAGTTCCACCTACAATTTCAGTACCCGGCTGGATATCATTTTCTCACGATACGGCGCTTATCAGTCTGGATAGTAGGGTTCCTCCCAGTCATATCCTGTAGCATCCTTGAGAAATTTGTTCGTTATGAAGTCACCCCAACTCAGCGATCGACCGAGGCACGGAGGGATACGAGCGCTTAGTGCTGCGTTAATAACCGGTCCGGAACCGACAAATTCCAGCGGAGCTGACACTTTGACAATTCCTGCGTCTCTTTTGCTAGGATTTCCCTTTTACGAAGTGTGACAGCGGTTTTGCCTTTGCTATAAGCTAAGGAACTTGAATGGATAATAATTTCAAATTTTGTTGGTAAAAGTGGTGGTGGTGTCCGTTCCTCCAAGTGGTGCCACTGGGAACTGCTCACTTTTGTGAGCTGAGCTGATCGCGGACATTCGAATGCAGGCGACAGGCCCCCGTGACAGGCCGGCCTACGAACACCCACGTCACATCACAAATGTCAATGTCGCTATGTGATTCCGAGATAATGCTACGGCGTCCGCGGGAGCCGACGCGCACTCGCAAAGCCCGGCGAGTGTGAAAAGTATGCGAGGGTCTCCGGTGCAAGGACGGCATCGGGGGGCAACTAGGCTAGTCCAAAAGTCCTGCAACGTATGGAAGATTCGCGTTGCGACGTTAAATGTTGGCACGTTGACGGGCCGCTCGTACGAGTTAGCAGAAGCTCTAGAGCGCCGACGAATTGATTTCTGTGCCGTGCAGGAAACGAGGTGGTCCTGCTGCAAGTCGAGGGACATTGGCCGCGGCTTCAAAGCCGTTCTCTGTGGCGGTCCCAGAACCACCAAGGCGTCGGGTGTTGTTTCTGAACGCTTCCGTGACTCGATCGTAAGCGTTGATCGTTTCGACGACCGTCTAATGAAGATCGTTGTCGTCATCGAACGTAAGCGATACCACTTCTTCTCTGCATACGCTCCGCAGACTGGCTGCTCCGAGCGAGCCAAGGACGAGTTCTGGACCCTGCTGGATGAAAAGACCGCTGAGGTACCGTCAGAAGAGGCTGTCATTGTCGCAGGTGACCTTAACGGTCACGTCGGCGCTGCGAAAGACGGTTACAACTGTCATGGTGGATTTGGATATGGGTCACGTAACACCGATGGCGAACGAATTCTTGAGTATGCAAATTCGCACGAATCTCACCATCGTGAACACGAAATTCCGGAAACGTGACTCCCACCTCATCACCTTCTATAGCGGTACTACCAGAACGCAAATCGACTTTCGTCCTCGTCAGGCAACGCGATCGAGGGCTCGTAACAGACGCAAAGGCGGTGCCGTATGAGACGGTCACCACGCAACATCGACCACTGATTTGCACGCTGAAGATCGCTCCTCCGAAATTGAAACAAATCGAGCGGTGTGGGCCAGCGAGAATCAAGTGGTGGCGTTTGAAAGAGAAGGAGGCGGTCGTGATATCCAACATTCAGTTGCCGGCAGTCACTACTGTTGATGAAACTTGGAAAAGTGCTGCCGAGGCGATAATCCGTTCTGCCCGTTCCGAACTCGGCACAACAAAACCTGGGCGACGGAAGATCGACAAGCAAGCGTGGCTATGGACGGACGATGTTAAAGAAAAAGTACGTGAGAAGAAGAGGCTATACCACGTATTTCTTGGCGATAAGACTGTCGACAACTGGCGGAGCTATCAGGCAGCTAAGAAAGCGGCAAAGAAGGCCGTTGCTGCCGCAAAAGCTGCTCACTTTGCTGATGTTAGCGAGAAGCTCGAGACGCGCGATGGTGAACGCTATGTTTACGACTCGCCAAAGCCCGCCATCGCCAGTCCGAGGATATCGAGAAGTTTTTCGGCATCAAATGACGAAAATGGTCACCTCCTGACGGACCGCAAGAAAGCAGTGAAGCGATGGCATGATTACTTCGAGAACATCTCAGCAGTAGAATTTGCTCATCCAGCAGTCCCTTATGTCCCGCCAGTGCAAGGTCCTGTGCAGAGAATAACCGTGGAGGAAACGGAAAGGGCTCTGAAGAAGATGAAGTCAGGAAAAGCTACAGGTCCCGATGATTTGGCGGCCGACATATGGAAGTCAAAATGCTGGTGTCCTGCTGAATGGTTGACCAAGTTTTCAACCAGATCGTTGCAGAGAAGAAGGTGCCTGAGAGTTGGCAACAGAGCACGACGATTCCGATCTGGAAGAAGAAAGGCAGCCCTGCTGACTGCACGAGCTACCGTCCAATTCGCCTGCTCTCGCACAGCATGAAGATCTTTGAGCGAATTGTAGACGGCCGTATTCGTGACATCGTGCAGCTTTCCATCAACCAGTGTGGATTTGTGTCAGGCTGCGGCACCATCGATGCAATACATGCCGCTCGCCTTCTGCTGGAAAGACATCGCGAGAAAAGAAAAGCCGTGCATCTTGCCTTCCTGGACCTTGGAGAAGGCTTTTGATCGCGTTCCTCGAGAAGTTATATGGTATGCTTTACGACAGCATGGCGTTCCTGAAGAGCTCATTGAGTGGGTGCGCATCTTTACTCGAACTCCAAAGAGCCGAGTGCAAACGGTGGCAGGTACTTCGATGGAATTTTCCCATCTCTGTCGGTGTGCACCAAGGCTCTGCGCTTTCCCCACTCCTATTCATTGTTCACTCCTATTCATTGTCGTCATGGATGCCATTTCGCGTGATCTTCAGAAGCCCGCTCCATGGACGCTTCTTTATGCTGATGACGTGATGCTCGCATGCGATGACAAACATCTGCTCGAGCAACAGGTGCAAACCTGGTCCGACCGTCTGGCTATGTTTGGGCTCAGGTTGAATGTGAAGAAGACAGAGTACTTGACCACCGATTTGAGTGAGTCAGGCACAATTAAGATCAGTGGCACTGAGCTCACACGTACAACATCGTTCAAGTATCTTGGGTCGGCAATCGCGTCCGACGGCAGCCTGATCTCTGAAGTAAACTCCCGGGTGAGTGCAGCTTGGTCCAAGTGGCGTAAGAAAATACCAGAGCGACTAAAATCTAAGATCTACAGAACCGTCGTCCGACCAGTCGCCATTTACGGAGCAGAGTGCTGGCCCGTGACTAAAGAGGTTGAGGCTCGTCTCAGTGTAATGGAGACAAAAATGCTGCGCTGGACTGCCGGGGTTACCCGTTTAGACCACATTCGCAACGATACCATCAGAAAGCGGTTCGGTGTGGCTCCCATCGCTGATAAGATGCGCGAAGCTCGCCTGAGGTGGTACGGTCACGTCCTTCGCGCTAATGATGAGAGTGTCCGTAAGATCGGTCTAGACTTTAACGTGCCAGGAAAGCGGCCAAGAGGACGCCCGAAGCAACGATGGCTTGATACGTTGCATGAGGATTTGAAATTAGTTGGCCTTCACCCCGATCAGGCACATAATCGGGAAAAGTGGCGTCGTAACACCAGGAAAGCGGACCCCGCCACAGGGTGGGACAAACGCTAAAGAATAAAGGTCTAACAGGAAAGGCATTCAACTTCCCATGGAACTTTGAGATGAGACCCAGATATATCGATAGAGCTTCAAACGCTGATTACAAATATGGAAACTAAAACTGCAAAATGAACCTGCCAAGGAAGTTGTGAGCAGTCAAAGTTGGCTGGAAGTAAAGCATTACACTAGCCTCCGGGCTTTCAAAGTCGCCTTGGAGTAGTGGTAGTGCTCTCGGAATTTGCGCTCCGACGGGAGGAGAGCTTATGACCTCCAGGGTGAATAGCGAGGGCACCACCACTGCTCCGCGGAGACTCTGAAAGCCCGGAGGCTAGTGTAATGCTTTACTTCCAGCCAACTTTGACTGCTCACAACTTCCTTGGCAGGTTCATTTTGCAGTTTTAGTTTCCATATTTGTAATCAGCGTTTGAAGCTCTATCGATATATCTGGGTCTCATCTCAAAGTTCCATGGGAAGTTGAATGCCCTTTCCTGGTAAGTCCAGTATGAACTCACTTCTGAAATGCCCAGATGAGATTCCCAATGAGCAAATGAGCGTTAAGACCAAAAGAAAGTGATGAGTCTTAAAAATTACTGTAACCAGAGCCTCAAACTTCTCATTTCAGCAAGGAACTCGAGTTCGATGTTCCGGACGACAACAACATGTTATTACGTCAGTTCATATGCCGCGGACAAGACTTTCCGGCATTCAAGGAGAGACCGAGTTTCGCGCTCGCAAACTGCTGCGTATCGAAGACCTTGACAGCAACGGATTTGAATGCAGCTTTAGCACACCCCGCCAGAGCCCTGCCAATTGAATGCGTGTTGGAAGCGGCTCGAGTGTTTGCCATATGGATGCAAACCGGATCGGTAGCACTGAAAACGCAGCGAATAATGAATGTAGAAGATAGAGTCGTTGACCCGCGCGCTCGCTTGGGTTTTGCGTATACGGTTTTTCGAAACAGATGCGCCCACGTCAGCACAATGGCGAGAGCCATTGAACCAGCCACCATTATGAGACACGGAACCTTGTCGAGAGGATGGCCGACGGTGCCGCAAAGGATTTTCGAGTTGGGTTGGCTGGTAGCGAGGAAACTGGATAAAAATGATTTCGATTTGAATTCAATGATGGACAGAATACACAATCGCATCCTAATCGTCGTGCCCATGGTACTCCGAAGGATGGCGTGGATGTCTGGTGGTTGTCGCACGCGCGTACTCTTTTATGGTGACTTTTCGGCGATCAAGACGAAGATGGATAGTTTGCTCACGGACGATCTCGGAGCAGTCGTGCTGATCCTGCCGCCGGAAGAGCCAGCCAACGGCACCGAGCTGCGATCATGTCAGCTATTATCTATGGACTACATGTGGCACGCATGTCTACCTTGTGAATGGTCCGAGGACCGTAAACATAGTGAGTTGGGAGCACGTTACCATGAAAATGCGAGCCCACATTCTCAGTTACGTGTCGGAGCAGCCGGAACATGCGCAACTTATCGTGGATGTCCCTCAGCAGAATATTGGAGTTGTGGACCGCGCGAGCGGTTGGGCCAGAGTCAACCCTGCGTTGCGCAGTTTTCAACGGCCACGTTGCGCAGTTTCGCCCGATTAGACACGTTCTCTCGCGAACATTCACACTCGCATGCTCGAGCCGTCTGCGTCTCCGCCCATACAGCGTGCGTTGAGGATCTCTCAACGTGCCGTTGCGAACTGCGCAACGCAGGGTTGACTCTGCTTGGGCTGCTGTTGATGCTGCAACGAATGCCACATGTCAGGGAGAGACATGCATGCCTTAAGAGATCAGCTATGATCAGCTGATCTGAGCTCGGTAGGCCGAGGAGGAGGCGGTTGGGTGGTCATGGGAGAACGCCTTGCCAGAGGCGTGATTGGCGCGGGAAGGTCCCAATAAAAGGGGTCCGGGCAGGGTCAACCGTCACGTTGGACCGATTTCAGGATTTTTACGACCCCCCCTCTTCGAGTATCTCCATACGACCCCCCCCCTTATTATGTACGGTACACTGTAAGAAAAGCTAACACTAGGGGAAGTAAGTGCAATCTACAAAATATCTAAGGACACTTGGCTTGAATTCAAACACAGTAGCAGACGAACTCTAGTTTCCTGATATCGTAATTTACTTATGCATAACATCGCAAAACGGACTGCCTTTATTAGGTGCTGAACAGTACTGCCCATTAGTTTGAATGGCGCTTTGCCTGCCTTTCATGACTTGGCGTTCAGAATCACAAAAATTTCCATCGATATGCAAACGCATCAAAAGGGGAATATTCACAATGATTTCAAGTTGCCAAACGAATGCATGGCGCATCTCAGAGCGTGAGAGTATACAGCAGAAGTGTCCGACCGGAGCACGGTAGCGTTGCGTTCGCATTGGCGCGCGCAATCTTCCCCCTCGGCGCAGCGCGGGTCGCGAGAAACAGACTATTGACTTTCAAATAAGCGTAATTTTGTTCAATATCAATATTTTTCAAATTGCTAAGCGGATTTGTAATCTACTTAACTGCTTGTTTCAGAGGATCACATCTATTATGCCTTATCTTCAAAAGTACGTCGGTTATGGGGTAGAAAACAAAGAATTTACACAGAAATGTGCACTTCTTCATTTGAAAGGTTGTAACTTTCTTCAAAGAAGGAACTATGAGGAGCGGTAAGAAAATTTGGAAAGGTCAGACTGTTTTCTTTCTAAAAAGCTCTAGCTTTTGCAAAATCTCTTTCCTCCGAAAAATCTCCCCGTTGGACCGTTTTTTTCGCAGCAATTACACAAAAAAAAGACACAAAAAGACCCAGGTTTTTGGCTTTCAATTACTATAACTTTCTTCAAATTCCACCTTTTGCAATTATTGTCCCCCTGGGTTGGAGAAGAAAGTTAGAGCTTTCCAACGTGTACTTGAACTTCCTTCAATGTTGACGGAGTCAAAAAATCGCCCCGTTGGACCGTTCTTGGGAAATCGTGGACCGATTTTTTGGAGAGCGCAGGTTTTTTGGCTTCAAATTGTTATAACTTTCTTCAGATTGAACTTTTTGCAGTTCTTATCCCCCTGAATTGAAGCAGAAGGTTAGAGCTTTCCATTGAATACTTGAGCTCCTTCTAAAGTCGAAGGAGTCAAAGAATCGCTCCGTTGGACCGTTCTTTTTTCACGAATTTTCGGAGCTACTCTCCTGAAAACGCAGGTTTTCAACACTTAAACACTGATAACTGTCTTCAAACTCAATTTTATCGGGAATAATGATACCGTGACATCGCACGAGCTTTGTGCTTCATTTAGAGATGCTGAACCTTTTCTAAAGAAGTTGCCGACAGGCAAATATTTTTGTTTCCCAAACTTTTCTTGTAGCACTTTAGAAGTCAATCTACCATAGTGGTTACTCTTTTACTAACTTATGTCCAGTTTGAAGGCATTGGTTCACCTCTAGAATTATATTTGTGTACGTGAGCATGGATACTTTCGCAGTAGACTCTTCTGCTCCAGTGTGCGCCATGCCCTCGCTTGTGCTCAATATTTGAAGAAACACTCTGAAGTTTTACCTCTCACCTACTGCCGCGGGAACTAAGTCTTGATTCTAATCGTTCGATGGTCCCAGCAAGAGCCAACAACTGCGATCTTCATCACAACGCCCATTAAGTTCCTTATAGCGAAAACCACCTCTCGTCCCCTACCCCGTTGGACTTTGTCCAACGGACGGTTGACCCTGGGTCCGGGTTCCTTCGTAGTATCTCCAGTTCCAGCCCCAGAGCTCCGGTGTTCCAGAGCTCTGGTGTTCCTGAATCCAGCGTTCCAGTGTTCCGGTGGCATCTGTGTGGTGCCTTAGTGGTGTAGTTGGTTGGGAGCTGTACGGCCCGTAGGAAAGAGGGCCTAGGCTCAGGAGAGGTAGCCTTTGTGGCGTGGTGAAGAGAGCCTCAGTGGCTCGTCAGAGAGGAGCCTTAGTGGCTCATTGTTGGCCTTAGTGGCCTGTTGAAGAGCCTCAGTGGCTCAGAGGAAAGAGCTTTCGTGGCTCATCGCAGAGAAGGGATTGCGCCGTGCACCTGGTTGCCGACCTCGGCTCGGTGGTCCGGTCCCATCGATACAACCCGCCTCCGATCGCCCCGTGATCTTTGTTGTTTGTATATTTATTGTTGGTTTTTCTGATCTAAATAAACCTTCCTTTCTACTTGTCTCTAGCACAGTTTGAAAGGGTTACTCCCACGTCGCAGCCACGAATCCATCTTACACTACACACAGAGTGGATGTCAGACGAGTCCACGCGCATATTTTATCAATTCCTGCGGTCCCAACTAGAACCCCTGTTCACTCTAGATGAGCTTCGTTTGGCACCGTTCCCAAACGAAAGGAGCCTGGTCTGCCGGCTTCTGTGGAGGAATGCTCTGAAAGGTCTCACGGAGTGGGTAAGAAGCATAGAAAAAGAGCGCTCTACAGAATAAGAGATAAACTTAGGGCCGTAACCCGCAAGATGCAGGAGTTGTAAGTCCGGGTCATGAGTGTACTATGGAGTGGAACCATAGAATTTTTGTAATCCCCCGGCATGTTGACGAGTTAAAAAGCTAACGGGTCTGCACCGGTTGTCGAGATGTAAAGATTTTCCTGAAGCCACGTCCAAACCGACGTGGAGGTGATATAGGGTATTTAAAGGCAACTTAGAGTTCAGATTTCAGGTCTCATCATCTCAACCCTGCCTTTCCCACACTACCCCTGATCTACATCTGCCCTACGGTTCATTGATCGCTTCTTCCGTTTCGTGCTTTTGTGCTCTATCATTGACCACTTCTCAATTGTATTCTTGTTTGTCGTTGCGATAAAATTAGTTGAGCTTTGTATCTGTTTGAAGCAGAAGAAACTAACACAAACAGGGGAAACTTTTGACTAGCCTTTTCGCTTTTCGCAGCGCGAAATTTCTTTGCTGCGAGAACTTGGGATCCACCCACCCAAATTTCGCGCTACAAACACACGAAATTCACTTAGTGTCTTAGCGGCCCGCACCTAGCAAACCATAGGTGGCCTGTCCTACTCCTTTAACACATTGACGATAGCCCCTTATGCGTGTACCTCGGCAACTTTTTGTTTATTTTTTTCACAATCGTCATAACTTCTTCAATAATTCCACTACTGGTAATTGACTCACAGTTTTTCGGATAAGATAACGCATGCACACAGAAATATGAAAAAGGCCAAATAAACCAAAAAAACTAGCCAGAATCGGGTGAAATTCTGACGCGCATGCATGCTGTCGTCAACGTGTTAAATTCCTTTACTGCGAAAGCTCGTAGCGCGTGCTTTCCGAGGCTCTGAGAGCATTCACAGATAAAACGTCCCTAGCCTTCATCGCAAACTCATGGGCAAATAAATGGCGCATGTGAGATGTACACATTTCATCCTGAATGGCTACGACAACCGGAGATTTGTAACGCCGCCGTTATGGAAAAGGGTGTAGGGTGTGGGTACTTAGGACAGAACGCGACTTTTTCGCTCTTCGCAACGCGACATCGCGCGGCAGGCTGGCGCACCCGCAGCGAAAACAACTACGGTATGGAAGAACGCGCGATTGGAGCACGATATTTGTGTCGGCTTTGATTGCGACAAGGAGTTTGAAGCTTAATAGCCATGGATTTGATAATGAACGAGGAAATGGTAACCAGAAGTGGACCGCTAACTAGCAGTGAAGAGGGAGGTAGGTTATTTTTGCAGAGATGGATGGTAGAGCTTCTGGAGAACCTGGAAGAGGAATGGTTGATGGACGTTTGATGAGACGACTGTAAACTTCTGCATAGGGGTTATTTGGGGCCCTGATCATGAATATGACACTCATTTTTCACATTCGTGCTGTTTAACGCATACTTTCTGCTTTTCTAAGCTTTCTCACCTACAGCGCCTACGACTAAGCTTAGGGGAGGGGAGTGAAACTCCGGAGTGGGTAAACCACGCACCGTGTGGCAAAAGTTGGAGTGTGTCAGACCACAGGGGAATGGCCTACCCACTTTGGAGCCCTACACTACTCAAAGGCTTAGTCCTATTGCGATCTAATTAGTGCGAGGGCGCAGACGAGCAGGAAGCAGGCGCCGAATAGCGCTAACAACAAATCAGGACCCCGAATAATACAAGATGTTATACCCTTATGCAGATGTCTATACAACAATATGAACCCACAAAATGCAAGCACAAGCGACACTATTAAACCCTCGTTCACCGATAATTCGTAAAACACCATTTGTGTGGCATCGCCCGGAATCGTGTAAGTCACAAAACGTTTTAAACAGAGACAGAATTAGTG